TGTAATACTTGAACTAAATAGGGATCGGAATAAATTCGCCCCTGCCCCTACCGTGTTCGCAATACATTATTAACCATGAACCGTTAATAGCCATAGGCTAAAAATATTTTTGATATCTGCTCATCATACACGTTCTATAAATAGTTATTAAGAAGTCGAATATATTCACGTTATAATTTGATTGACCTTCTGAATTATCCGTGATAGTATATATTAATAAACGGTTACGTTACAGTATAACTGTACACTGGTATTTCCTAAACATAAAGCGCAATCCATTATAAAAGTACAAATGACATCATCCATATTTACACATATTTTACTTGGGAAAACAACCCACCGTAAAAAAACTGACGACCTCCGTGGCCGAGTGCTTTGTACGCCGGGTTTCATGGTTTCGCCGACTTGAGAGGTCCCGGATTCGAATCCCGATGGCGGCAGATGTTTGTGTGATGAATACGAACATTTGTACTCCAGGCATGGATGTTTAATATGCATTTATAAATAAATATACTTATATATGTCATCATCATCATCATCAGCCTATTAATGTCCCCACTGCTGGGGAACAGGCCTTCCCTATGGATGGAATAGGGAGACTGGGCCATGACCCACCAGGCGGGCCCAGTGCGGATTGGCGGGTGCTAACGACTGCAGATACAGCCGGGACCAACGGCTGCCTTCCGAAGCACGGAGGAACTCGAGATAGAAGATTTTTGGTCACCCATCCATTGACCGACCACTGCCAAAGTTGCTTAATTTCAACGATCGCAGCCGAACGCGCAAACCACCTGCGCCATCGAGCTCCTCTTACTTATATATGTACAGTAGATGTATTCTATCCGTTACTGTCTGTATCCGTTGTCTACCGTCTAGCTAGACGGTAGCACTTGCCTTGTATCAGTTTGCCTACGCTCGCTTTGGGCTAAGCTCGGCCATCATGTATTGGCAGTTTTAGAAAGCCACTCCGTCTCCAATCCAGCGCAAAATTGTTTGTGGCCTAACTTTCTTAAACAGTGTCGTGTCGTACTATTGATGCTCTGCTTATACCGCAAAGGATAATATAAGGTGAAGGTATGTAAGTAGTTATACATATGTGATGTGCTCTACTTATTCCTTAAAGTGAGAGGGGAGACGTAAACTTGAACAAATACGAACTAACATCCCAATATGTCTCGCTTGTATTGTTTACCTATATGGCTTTGTTTTACGAACCCAGATGAGTTTGCGAATTTGCTTAGAGAGCATCATTCTTGTTATTACTCACAGTTCGATTTATTTAATGAGAGTAGTAAAACTCGACGCCTACAAATAGATAGGTATATCTTTTATCTGGAGTCTCATCTAGTGGTACCAGTAACACAGTAGAATAATAAATAGTACAGGTATGTTTAGTTATATCGTGTTAGCTCTGCACAGTCAAATTTTTTCCCGAATGTTATTGTATGTGTAGGACTTGGGAGTGTTTAATAAGGCATTTTATTGCACAATATTAAACATATTGCAATCACTTATTTTAGTTATATCATCGTTTCTGCCGTTACGTTAAAAGGTCACTGCTCAGTATTTAAAGATCGATAGACATTTTACTGACCTCATTTCTGAGTGTACTGCTGCCGTAAACTTCGCCGTAAAGATTTTATGTCGCTGTCATATTCGTTTCCCATGGCTATTACATTGCTATTACAATCAGTAAATATTACACATGCTTTCCCGCTTTCTAATGCCCGTATTATAGAACGTGGCTCAAGCAAAGGGTTGCCACCTTTTTTATATCCAAATAAAGTACATAGGATATTAAAGATAGAAAAAAAGTACATTGTGTCCAAAATAAAGTACTTTTTATTCCACTTTATTAGTAAGCTTAAAAATATATTTTACGTTGCTTATAGCAACTTTTAATAAATAATTTGTGGCTACTAAAAATCTGGGCAATGGGTAAGGCCATTATACAAAGCCGTACGGCCGCGACAATGTTGCAGGAATGAGCTAAGGGCGACATATTATACATACTGTTCTTCTGTTTTACGCAAAAATTCTTCCTATCATCTTTTTGTATATTTTATGTAAAATTTATACCCAAGTAATGAAATCACATTAAATAAAGTATTTTCACGTAATTTATTGTTGGCATAAAGTATAGAGTACAATTACCCGAAATAACGTACAAAACTTTTTAATAAAGTACCTACGGGTGGCAACCCTACTCAAATACTCTTTAAATGTAGATTACTACTCAATTGCTTAGCATACACAGGTTACGCATTAAGAGCAAATCAGCTGAAACTAAATCAAAAATCGTTTTGAACTCCGATCAAATTTGTCTAAACGTCAGTTTAAAAATAACTCTTATTACGACATATAAAGGTGTGCCAAAAATAACAGTGTGGTTACCTCTTTAATTAAATGATATCATATGCGCGTTAAAATTTTACAGAGAAGCACTGCTGACGTAGACCATTTTTAACACGCTTTTATTAGGTCGACCAGTATGTCCGGGGGCGTGCTCGGAGATGTGGCGCACGCAGGTGCGTCGGCCCCGAGACGCCCCCATATGGGCGTAGGAGGGTACCGGGGGGTTTTAGTGGAGTAGGATCAGTGTGGCCTTCCGCACTGGTCCTGCTTGAGTAGGGTCGGCACTGTTTCCCGTGCCGGCGAGTCCCACACACGCCGTGTGCCTAGTCAGCGTCACGGTATGGTGCGTAACTGCATTTCCCCTCGTCACAAAAAAAAAAAAAAGGTCGACCAGTATGTACTAACTATGTAATGGAATCTAAGAATCTGAATTACACTTACTTCTAATTTTTGTATCATCATGAAACTTGGCAATTATATTATGTAGATTAGATGACAATACAATATCATGGTACCATCGAGCTGGTCTGATGATGGGACTGGAAGGTGACTCATGGAACCTTGGACTGCCTACAAGTAAACATATCGAGTTTGGGCTCGTTGGATTCGTCTAAACATATTCTGTTCATTATTCCTGATGTCCAGTACGGGACGATGGGCTTGACTGGAGTATTATCGTACCATCTAGCTGGTCTGATGATGGGACTGGAAGGTGACTGATGGAACCTTGGACTGACTACTAGTAAACATATCGAGTTTGGGCTCATTAGATTCGTCTTAACATATTCTGTTCATTTCATGTTAAAGAGGAGTTATAATAATAAACTAAAAAGAGAAAAATAAATAAATAATTTAAAAAACTAGAAACACACTTTTGCGCGCCATGTTTATAGTTTATTTTAACATATGAATAACTGAAAAAAGCGTGGGGCGCTTCATTATTAACTTTTGACTAAATTGTGAAGCATTATCAATCACGTAATATATTCATTGATTTGATAAATATTGCAATGAATAGCTCCACGCTTTTTCAGTTGTATAAATAAACTATACACATAGCTTACTCTAAGGCCCAAATGAAGTAAACAGAGAGCATATTTTGTTTATTTTTGACTTTTTAGTGCAGTAAATAAAAGCGTGTTATTAGTTTTTTTTTAAATATTAATTTATTTTCCTCTTTTTAGTTTATTCTTCGTACTCCCCATTAACGTGTAATAAACAGAATATATTAAGAAGAATGTAATGAGCCCAAACTCGATATGTTTACTAGTAAGCAGTCCAGAGTCCATTAGCCACCTTGGCGCCATCCATAAATTAAGGGGTAGGGAGGGGGTCGACGAATTGTGACATCGTGTGACAAGGGGCTGGGAGGGGTCCTAAATTTCGTGACGTCACATTTCAAAATCTGTTATTATCTAAGGTTGAAACTATAACTACGAAAACATTAACAACCCAAACGAGAACAAAGTGGTGCTATGCCAGTTATAAATAATTTAAAGTTTGAAAAAATAATATTTTTTGTTTGTTAACTTCTTTAATTAATAAAGTCAACCGTTTTTTGTTTTGTTAATTTCTTTAATTAACACAGTCAATAGTTTTTTGTTTGGTAATTTCTTTAATTAATATAATTAATCGTTTTTAGGATTCGTACCTTAAAAGGAAAAACTGGAACCCTTATACGATCACTTTGTTGTCCGTCCGTCCGTCTGTCAAGATCGTTTTTCCCAGGAACGCATGGAGGTATCAAACTGAAATTCATATCTAATACTCGGGTCTACTGTCCCTTGGAGCTGTGAAAAAAATCAAACTTCTAAGCCAAAGCAATCAAAAGATACAGACGTTTATGCCGCAAATTTTTCGAAACTCGCACGGGAATCAAAACCTACAGGGTATTTCCCGTGAACTTAGAATCTTGAAATTTGGTACGAAGTAACGTTTTATAGTACAGATAAAGGAAAAATTGCTAAAAGTGTAAATTTTTAGTTACATCATATAATTTTTTTTTTTTTTGTAAATTCTTGTTTGTACGGAACCCTCGTTGCGCGATTCCGACTCGCACTTGGCCGATTTTTTTGTTTTGTTAAGTGTTTGATTTGATGTTAATATTATTTATAAACAATTTAAATGGAAGTAAAACTGATTTTAGGACCGCTATTTTCATTCAATAATTTCTAAATGTAAATTTGCAAAATATGTGGCGTCACACTAGAAAGGGGGGGAGTCTCACAAATGTGACCAATTGTGACAAGGACGGGGGGAGAGGCAAAAAATCATGAAATTTGTGTGACGTAATTTATTGATGACCCCCTTTCAGTCCATCGTCAGGTCCTCGTCATCAGGAGAAATGAACATAATTTGTTAAAAAGAATATAGTGAGCCCAAACTCGATGTTTACTAGTAGGCAGTAAACTTGAATCTTCAATTCTCCAAGCTTCCATCAGCCACCTTCCAATCCCATTATCAGACCAGCTCGATGGTACCATAATATTGTATTGCCATCTAATCTACATATAATTGCCAAGTTTTATGATGATACAAAAATTAGAAGTGAGTGTAATTCAGATTCTTAGATTCCATTACATAGTAAGTTACTGGTCGACCTAATGAAAGCGTGTTAAAAACAGACAATGTGACATTTTTTGCAGGATAGTGTATTGGAGACACCCGTTGTGTTAGTTGGCAACAAAGCTGACCAAGTTGGTGATCGCATGGTGTCTACGGAAGAGGGACAGCGCCGCAGCCAGGAGATAGGATGCGTCTGTTTCCACGAGATCTCCGTCAGAGAGAGCATCGAACAGGTAATATTCCCTTATTACCATAACGTTTATGTATGCTGCCGCTGGATGCGGACAGCTTTGGCCCGATCAAAGTAGAGATCTTTGAAGAGACCTATGCTGATGTTGAGCAGTGGACGTCGTGTAGTTATATGATGATTATGTTCTTACTTAATTTAAGACAGAGGAGCTCATTAAGCTTCTCCTACACCTGCGCGACGAAGCTTTGGTTTTAAAATGCGCTTTTCAATTAAATCCGTCGTAAGTACGGTCGTAAGTCGTAGTTCTTTGGTTGCATATACAAATTTTTCGTCTCCACAACCTCTTTGATACAGTCAAGCTTTCGTCTAGCTTGTTTAGACACGCAGCCTGACAATTCATTACTATAGAACTAATTTAAAATTTCGAACGCTAACCTTAGCCCATTTACCTAGTACCAAAGCCCAACACCTTCTTCTTTTTCTTTCTTTATGGCATGCTCGGTTTGTGCGTTCAGCTAATGTCAAGTAAAATCTCGAAGTCACCCACAGCTTCGTCGCGCAGTATTATGTTAAACTTTTTTTAAACTTGACTTGTTTTTATCCATTACAAGCGAGGACAGACAATAAGTATATACATCATATGAATATTTATTTAAGGACTAAGAAAACATGTTTCATTATGCGCTGACATTTCTCGCGTTCCTTGCCTCCGCCCTACTTCTATATGTTTTAGTATCCCGAATCCTTGACTAATCTAATAATTCAATCGCTTATATCCGTCTATAATATTGAATAATCTTTAAATAAAAAATAAACCAAATCAATAAATAAAAGAACGACGGATTGCACTCCGGCAGTGCCGGCAGAAGTGAAAACTTGAAAATTAACGTTGTGCATTTTTGATATTTTGGAATGGTTAGGGAATAATTTTGCAACGAATTGCTTTAATTATCAGTATAAAAGTACTATCATTTATGTGGTAGAATACAATATTTATTTATTGCGCTATCGTACACAAAAATGTCAATTTATCTCAGAATTTCTCATTTCAGCTCACCTAGCGACACCTATTGTAAAAAAATGCATTTTTTTCGCAGTAAAGTTGCCACCTGGACGTCCTAGATACAGACTTATTATTATAATACGATAAAATAAAATATTACTATGATTCGTCCAATATATTGAAAGTCAACAGCCTTTCCAATTTTATTGTTTTCGTCTTACAAATTTTCGATTGTCAGGTGTCCGGATGCGATCAGGCCACGTGTCATGACGCGAGTTTAACAGTTTTTACCCCTTACAAAAAAAGTGTACAACGCCGCTAAAGAAGTTTTCCCTTCAAAAACAAAGATTATAATAATCCCATTTCGTCCTTTAGAGACTTATATTATCTAAGTGGAAACGTTCGTAGTATCTTTTTTTTATATTTTCGACTATACCTATCCGATACAAAGTAATATTTTTTTTATATATAAATCACATTTTTTTTCCAATACAAAGTAAAGTAGCAAAAGTGTTTACTTTGTATAAGTACATTTTGGTGTAAGTGCGGAATTTCTACGAGTCTCAAATCTCATTTCTTACGAATCGCTCTATCTTGGCCAAATTGATTAAATTGGAACGAAAAAGGAATGATAATTCCGCACGTGTTACCAACGACCTTTTACAATACGTAATTACATGAAAGAAGGCACTAATATAACAAACACCCGTTTGGGTGTTGTAATGGTTTTTTTTATTATGACATTGGATATTTTAATGTTGGATTTAACTAAGTGTTTTTACTCGAAACACGAAAAAAATTAATCTGAAACAGATCCTAAAAAATAAACTGTACGCGTATATTAACTTACTAATCGAAAAGTTTAGTTTGTAGGTACTCGTTTTTTTTAATGAGCACTTAACTTATAGAAAAACAAACACCAACATGTTTAGCAATGTTCATAATTATAATTTTTATTATTTTTAAAGCATGTAACTGCTTGATGTTTAAATCTAAAGAAAATATAACTAGAAAAAATTCCACGCGGACCAGGCAGCAGACGGGACTCGAACCCGCACCCTTCGCAATCCGGGCGAATGCACTGACCAATTATGCTACCGCGGCCCTCACGGACCGCGTCGAAATTCCTTCTAGCTATTCTTAAGCTGCAAGGCAGCGCCATCTCTTCGCATTATAGGTAAACCCACAATGTCAAATGAATACTTTTACAAGTATTAAACATTTGAAAGAAGAAATAGCAATTATAGTTATAATTTTTATTATTTTTAAAGCATGTAACTGCTTGATGTTTAAATCTAAAGAAAATATAACTAGAAAAAATTCCACGCGGACCAGGCAGCAGACGGGACTCGAACCCGCACCCTTCGCAATCCGGGCGAATGCACTGACCAATTATGCTACCGCGGCCCTCACGGACCGCGTCGAAATTCCTTCTAGCTATTCTTAAGCTGCAAGGCAGCGCCATCTCTTCGCATTATAGGTAAACCCACAATGTCAAATGAATACTTTTACAAGTATTAAACATTTGAAAGAAGAAATAGCAATTATAGTTATAATTTTTATTATTTTTAAAGCATGTAACTGCTTGATGTTTAAATCTAAAGAAAATATAACTAGAAAAAATTCCACGCGGACCAGGCAGCAGACGGGACTCGAACCCGCACCCTTCGCAATCCGGGCGAATGCACTGACCAATTATGCTACCGCGGCCCTCACGGACCGCGTCGAAATTCCTTCTAGCTATTCTTAAGCTGCAAGGCAGCGCCATCTCTTCGCATTATAGGTAAACCCACAATGTCAAATGAATACTTTTACAAGTATTAAACATTTGAAAGAAGAAATAGCAATTATAGTTATAATTTTTATTATTTTTAAAGCATGTAACTGCTTGATGTTTAAATCTAAAGAAAATATAACTAGAAAAAATTCCACGCGGACCAGGCAGCAGACGGGACTCGAACCCGCACCCTTCGCAATCCGGGCGAATGCACTGACCAATTATGCTACCGCGGCCCTCACGGACCGCGTCGAAATTCCTTCTAGCTATTCTTAAGCTGCAAGGCAGCGCCATCTCTTCGCATTATAGGTAAACCCACAATGTCAAATGAATACTTTTACAAGTATTAAACATTTGAAAGAAGAAATAGCAATTATAGTTATAATTTTTATTATTTTTAAAGCATGTAACTGCTTGATGTTTAAATCTAAAGAAAATATAACTAGAAAAAATTCCACGCGGACCAGGCAGCAGACGGGACTCGAACCCGCACCCTTCGCAATCCGGGCGAATGCACTGACCAATTATGCTACCGCGGCCCTCACGGACCGCGTCGAAATTCCTTCTAGCTATTCTTAAGCTGCAAGGCAGCGCCATCTCTTCGCATTATAGGTAAACCCACAATGTCAAATGAATACTTTTACAAGTATTAAACATTTGAAAGAAGAAATAGCAATTATAGTTATAATTTTTATTATTTTTAAAGCATGTAACTGCTTGATGTTTAAATCTAAAATTATAACTATAATTGCTATTTCTTCTTTCAAATGTTTAATACTTGTAAAAGTATTCATTTGACATTGTGGGTTTACCTATAATGCGAAGAGATGGCGCTGCCTTGCAGCTTAAGAATAGCTAGAAGGAATTTCGACGCGGTCCGTGAGGGCCGCGGTAGCATAATTGGTCAGTGCATTCGCCCGGATTGCGAAGGGTGCGGGTTCGAGTCCCGTCTGCTGCCTGGTCCGCGTGGAATTTTTTCTAGTTATATTTTCTTTAGATTTAAACATCAAGCAGTTACATGCTTTAAAAATAATAAAAATTATAACTATAATTGCTATTTCTTCTTTCAAATGTTTAATACTTGTAAAAGTATTCATTTGACATTGTGGGTTTACCTATAATGCGAAGAGATGGCGCTGCCTTGCAGCTTAAGAATAGCTAGAAGGAATTTCGACGCGGTCCGTGAGGGCCGCGGTAGCATAATTGGTCAGTGCATTCGCCCGGATTGCGAAGGGTGCGGGTTCGAGTCCCGTCTGCTGCCTGGTCCGCGTGGAATTTTTTCTAGTTATATTTTCTTTAGATTTAAACATCAAGCAGTTACATGCTTTAAAAATAATAAAAATTATAACTATAATTGCTATTTCTTCTTTCAAATGTTTAATACTTGTAAAAGTATTCATTTGACATTGTGGGTTTACCTATAATGCGAAGAGATGGCGCTGCCTTGCAGCTTAAGAATAGCTAGAAGGAATTTCGACGCGGTCCGTGAGGGCCGCGGTAGCATAATTGGTCAGTGCATTCGCCCGGATTGCGAAGGGTGCGGGTTCGAGTCCCGTCTGCTGCCTGGTCCGCGTGGAATTTTTTCTAGTTATATTTTCTTTAGAATGTTCATAATTTTATTTTCTGACTTACAAAGCGCTTTCCAAATACCATAAATATATCTATCTCCTACCAAGCCATGGCTTAGTGAAGTTTATCTAACGACCAATTTAACTTTACACTGGGTTCCGTTCCGTCGTTCCGTCTGTTTATGACATATTCAATTTTGTCGTCTTGGTACGTCGTAGGTCTCGTGCATAATTACTATCTACAAACGCAATTTCAATTAATTTTAACTAAGCCATTAAATAATTGTGACTATCATAAAATAACACCATCTTTTTACAAATAAACTTAAACACCAAAAAAACTGAAAAGCAAAAAAAATATGAACCTTTTTTAATTAACCTTAACTAAGTTCTTAAACTAATGTAAGTGTACCTAAGTAATTTTGAGTCGGCGGCGCCTGTATTGGAATGTTAAAGAAAACAGCTGCCAAATTAAAGTACTTAGTGATCTTGCATTGAATCAGGTTTCTAGGGCTCCAAGTACAGGAAGGGGTCAGAGTAGACATTGTGCGAGTAATATCAGGTTACTGGTATCTCAAGCGCCTTTTAGTTAGGTATGTCGCTCACAATGAGGCGGGCTCATTTACCACCCAAAAACAAATAGGCTGTAATGAAAAATATTTTAGATAATGAGTTATTCAGATTTTGCTGAATTA